CTGTTAAAGAAAGATAGGTTCAGTAATTAAATTTAACCACTTAAACAACTGCTGTTGTAAAACAATGACATTGCTGTTATTTCCAAATAGATACCACTTTGAAACAAATAAATATCCTACCTAGTTAGAGTAAATGGTCGATTTCAATGAGGACAGATGATTAACAGTAGACGAAGGCAGAGGCTTTAACCCACTGAGCCACCCAGGCGCCCAGATGATTAACAGTAGAAAAGCAAGAATGTTTCATGATGAAAGTTATTAAACAGAAGGTCGACAGAAATAGCTATGAATTGTCCAAAAATAACTACCTAGTTAATGATCAAAGCATAGAGACATCCTCTTTTGTGTCCTTAAGGGAGACAGAAGGATATCTCTCTTTCTTCTTTCTGCACACCTGGTCATATCTTCCAGACTACTCACTAATTGAGATATTGGCAATGACAGAAAAGGGAGAGCAGGCAGAAGGAATGCAGAAGAGGAAAGGATGAGAAATAATGGTAACGTATTTATTAAGTGCTGTATCTATGCAGACATTAGGCTAAACACTTTACATGCAACAGCTCTTTAATCCCTAAAAAAACTTAAAGAGATGGTTTTTGTTTTTATTTTAGAAATGACAAACTGAGGCCTAGGGAGGTTCAGGAGTGTGCTTGGTCACCTTCTGTATGATTTTTTATAGTGAACAAAAGCTTTCTGGCACTCACAAAACAACTGAGTTTGGCTGCCATAATCCTCATTTTAGAGGTCAGGACACTGAGGATCGGAAAGGTAAAGTGATTTTCTCAGGGGCTCTGGAGAGAGTGGCAGATGAGAACATGAGCCCAGTGGAATGCCCATGGAGCCCATAATGGATTAAATTTTGTCACCCCAAAATCATATGTTGGAAGCTCTACTACTACCTCAGAATGCAACTACATTTGAAGATGGGATCTTTAAAGAGATAATTAAGTGAAAATGCTGCTGTGTTAGGTGGGCCTTATCCGGCCCGATTGCTAGCCTCTGAGCAGATAGGATTGGGAGATTTAGAACAAAGACACCAGGGATGGCCTCACACAGGCCATGTGGGAACTCGGGGAGAAGGTGGCCATCTACCCGCCAGGGGGAGAGGCCTCAGGAGAAACCAAACCTGCCTAACCTTGATCTTGGACTTCTAGCTTCCAGAACTATGAATAAATACATGTAGATTGTTTAAGCCCCTCAGTTTGTGGTCTTTTGCCCTGGCAGTCCTTGCAAACTAATATGGAGCCCTTGTACTTGCTCCAAAGTGGAAGCAATTGTCACACCTTCTCTTACCTTTCACTCTAGTCTAGGTAAACTGAGAATAGCCAAAGTTCTCTCATATTTTTCTAAACTCTAAGCATTCTAACAGTTGGGACAAATAAATATGTCTTATTGGGGAAGACTAAACTGATGCTAGAATATGATATTTGAGTCATTGATAGAAAATACACAATTCTAGGGACACCTGGGTGGCTCAATACACTGAGTGACTGCCTTCAGCTCAGGTCATAATCTCAGGATCCTGAGTTGGGAGCCCCACGTTGGGCTCCCTGCTCAGTGGGGAGTCTGCCTTCCCTTTCCCTCCCCACTTGGGCTCTCTCTTGGTAACTTTCTCTCCCTCTCTCTCTCAAATAAATTAAATAAATAAATAAATAAATAAATAAATAAAAAGAAGAAAACACACATTTCTAGGCACTGAGCTCTGAATTGGAGATAGGAAATTGCATAATTATTAAAGAAGAGCCTCTCAAACTCAGGAATTCTGGATAATAACACAAAGGTGCTCCTCATCATTAGCTACTGACATACTTACGCATACACCCAGGTCTTAAGTGAGGGCTTTACACAACAATCCTTGAGCATGGACAATGGGTGTACCGCAACGATTTTCTTCCATCTGCCAACGATGTAGCAATTCTCTGTGGTCTCCTCATCCTCCTCTTCATTCCCATTCTCTCTCCCCTATGTTCCTCAACTTCCCTCCATTTCAGCATGAGATTTAGTGTCCATCAGAGACACTTTGGTGTTGAGTTCCCTGCTCTACCAAACAACAACTGAAGGAAACCAAAAAAGGGGACTTAACGGATCTGAGTCTCCATTTTTCTGTTAAGTGAGGACGATAAATACCACTCTGCAGACCAGGTGAGAGAATGCCTGTGAAAGTATGAAGCCCAGGGTCTGCTGACAGGAAGAGGTCATTAATTACACATGAGGGACCAAGGGGAGGAGTCAAGGTGACCTTGAGGTTTTCAGCCTCAAGCAATGAAGTAAATGCCATCGACAACAATGAAATTTAAAAATCCAAGACAGACCATAGGGTGAAATCATTTTGACAATGATCTTTCTTCTTCTTCTTCTTCTTCTCCTTCTTCTTCTTCTTCCTCTTCCTCTTCCTCCTCTTCTTCTTCTTCTCCTTCTTCTTCTTCTTCTTCTTTTTGCCTCTTTCATTACATTCATCTGAAATGCTCTTCTCTTGGTCTATTCAGAACTAACAAGTCTCATCTTTGTTCCCGACCACCCAGGAAGAAGTGTCTGCTTCTCCTAAACTGCTTTAGCACTTATGGCATCTCCTCCAGCATTTCTGCGTACAGCTCTGACCACTGCTGTCCTTGCAGTATATCTCATCTCCTCCATCACTCTATGTGGTTCAGAGCAGGGCGGACCCTACCTTATAATTCTTTGTTTTCCCACCATAGTTTGCTTGGGGATGCGTGCATTAGCATGTATTACTAACATATTGATTTCACCTTCCCTAAAGCATCCTTGGATTTGCTTCTCTATTAGTACTTTATTAATGCATTGTCTGATGGATCCATTTGAAGAAGGGAGAATTTAAAATTAGGCACTCCTAACACAACACCTTTCTGATAAAAGTTTTAAAGTTAACTTAATAATTTGGGGGAGATTATTCTTCTTTATAATTGTAAGACCTTGATATATAAATCATTAAAATAATTTTAATTGCCATTACTTAAACTGTGCCAAATAACATTAATACTGAATTATTCCTCACTAAATCTACAAAATGATTAATAGTGTGTTAGTGAATTAACAGAAAAGTTAATGGTAAGAAGCATCAAAATGCATTCTCCTAATAGTAACAGCTTGAACACTGAAGTACTCCTATGGATGTTTATACACATAAACTGAAAAAAACAAACAAACAAAAATCATACATACATAGTAGAGAATTTAGGAAAAAAATAAGAAATATTTAAACTAGAAACATTTTATAAAGAAAAATAATAAGGAGAGCATGAGATAAAAACATTGACATAAATATAAACAGTAATCAGGAAAAATCTAATGATGAACTTAATGGTACATTGACACTAATAAAAATGGAGAGCTGTGAACAACTTTTAGCATTTTATAATCAAACACATAGAGTTGGCTATCTCATCCCTTTTTGCCAAACATATGACATATCCTGTTAATACATTAGTTTCTCTGAAAGTATCCACAGATAAGACAATAACCTTATTCCCAACTATTCAGGAGTGTAATCTACTAATTCATGTCACCAAACACTTCTGCCTTAACTTTCCATCAGTGTTTAACACAGCAAATTCCATTATAGGTTTATACCCTTGACAGTCAGAAATAATCATTATTCATCAAAAGTTTCCAAAGAACAGTAAAGACAGAATTATTGAAATACATAGAAAAAAAAAAATTCAACGTAGACAATGCAAAAATATGACCTGATTACAAATCTTAAAAAACATCTGGCTCTGCCTTCATGCGTATGACAACTGCATATAGTTTATTACATTTTGGTAACAAGCATTAAAGTGGTCTCCAATGATGTAGAATCAGAGTATGACTTGTGAAGAAGAAGAGGGAGCATTTTTAGACCTTTCCGTCATTATAGATTAGACAAAAACTTTCACCCAGCTTTCCATTTGCTGTCCTGATGGCTATCATCTGACTAGCTGATAAAAAAAGCAATATTCACAATCTATTTTTTATTTCAAAGCTTGCAAGAGAAATATACAAATGCCCTGCAGTATAGTCAACTTTCTGTTCCCGAACAAGATACAATGAAACCATGAGCGTGTGTGGAATCAACTGCCTACCTTAGGAAGACAGAAGATAAATTTTGGGGGAAGGGGGGCGGTGATAAAATACAGTGGCACCAAGAGGTAAAAGTACATTTTGCTGCCAGATTCTTACACCAATTAAACACCTTTTGGAAAACAGCCTTTTGTTCAGAAATGACCTTCTCAAGAACAGTGTCAGCTGGCACAGAGGTAACTCAAGGTGGTAGGATGGTCTGTTCTCATTCAGCAAAGTCAATAATAGCACGCAACAGATGAAGACCAGCTATACCTTGGAAATGTCAGAATTAATTCATCATCAGAAAGACACAAAACAGAAGTTAAGTTAAACAAACTACAACCAAAAACCCACTAAAAGGATCCATCGTAAAAAATATATATCCCCCAAAGAAAAATATATGAGACACCACTCAGTGAAATGTGTTTGATTTTCTTATTTAATATTTTTTCATCATTAAAAAAAAAACAACACTAGAAAATATTCTGAGAGGTTCAGGGCATCCTCTTCTGTAAAGCGATGGATCTGAAAATTATGGGTTTTCAGCAATGTCAGTGGTTTCTTGGCTTTTTTTTTTTTTTTTTTTACTTCTCTTAGAAAAGAAGAAATACTTATGTAATCCATATTTTTGGGGGGGAAGCATTCCAGAAACCCCCAAACTAAACCAAGTGTTATAAAATGCACTATGTCCTCACAAGCAAATTAAACCATAAGTATAACTCAGTTAAAGGAAAAGCAATATATGTAAATATTAAATATTTTTAAAATCCAAGTTTACAGAAGGCACTTATTCATTTTTCAAAGAAAAGAATAAGGATTTACAAAGGCAAGCTTCCTAATGTGAAAGTATGTGATTTATAGAAACTTATCTGAACAAAGCTACTCAGGAATAATTCTATTAAAGAAAATAAGGTTCACCTACAGGTTTGTAGCCAACTTACCTCTTTTTGCTTTTGATGTCAAGTAGTGCATAAAAAGAGAAAAAAATTTATGTTTAACTGATTCTATTGTTATTACATAATGGCTATTCCATAAATACCTACTCAGAGTAAGTGACTATCCTACACTTGTTTTTTTAAGGACATACGAACAGAGGTGAGGCTGGGATTGCCTGGACGGCCAGACATAGGTACACGAGGTGCACTTCGCAGCATCCTCATTGGGATGTCTGTGCCAGAGCCCTGAGTGTACCCCCTCCTACTCTAAACTTCATACTTCAGATCACATGATCTTAAAGTGATCACAGACTGATTCTATTTGTTGTAAGACATACTCTTATGTGCAATGCAGAATTGGGAGGCAAGGCTCAGGTTAGAGTAAAAAAATGGACCAGATGAACAGCATTAGAGCAGCAAAAATTCCTTAATATGAGGAAAGTTTTTCCCTGTCAACTAAAAAAAGCAACGATTTTACATCCACTAAAAGTAGGTTTAGCTAAGATAACAGTCCTGCTCTAAATCAGTGTCCTGCAAAATAAATACACATATTATCATACAAATCTATCAATGCACATATTGGAGTTGTTTCTTTTAACTCTTTTAAGAGTAACAATCTAATCTAGTCCATTTCTTGAGAACCTTCAGGCACTAATTCAGTTACATGAGAGGCCAGCTTGAAAAGCAGCCCCTTAGAAGAAGACCTGATTTATGGTCTGGCCACATAGAAGTGAAATAACTTATACAAACGCACACACAAACACACACACACACACACACACACACACAAGAAAGAAAGAAAAAGAAAGAAAGAAAGAAAAAGAAAACCCCCAGAGTCCAGTAATGAGCAAAACTGAAACAAAATTGGCTTTTACATATACAGTTCCTAAAAACTTTAGATTTGTGATATGGAAAACATATCAATGGCTGTTCGTTTTTGGCTGACAGGTGACAGAAGATAGTAAAATTAAGAGTAATATGACATCTTTATGACTTTACTTTTTTAAAAACTAAACAATAGAAAGGAATAAAGCAGCTGTTTTGAGTTGTGCTTTTTTCCTTTTTCCTCTCATAATTTCAGGCACAATACACTGACGAAACAGCCTAAGAAACCAAACAAGCATCAATAGATGACTAAAGAGATGAGTGTGTAGAAGAAGGGGCACACAGTTGCGCAAAAGGAAAACCAGGGTGGCCGGATGTTCCGTTGTTATGCCATGAATACAGTGCACTGAATCTTTCCTGCTTGATTAGTTGTACGCGTTTAAAGACTAGGTCACATTAAGTAGCACAGGTGCCAGCACTACATTTCACTACAACACTTAAAAGCAAGGGACAAGCAGCAAGGGTAGCCTTTCCATGAGCTTTACAACCACCCATCGTGGGTACCACACTCACAGCAGAACTCAGGCTGCTCCTTCAGACCTTGACCAACTTGCTCAGAGGTCAGGAGAGCAACTGAAGCCAGGGCTAGCACATAGAAGGCCCATTCCCCAACTGTTTGTTAAGGCCTCAGAAGGGTCTGGTCGGCTGCCATGTTGTTCGGCACCAGAGAAACATTCTTGAATTAAATTGGTGGCCTCCGTAACATGTACACCAATCTAGGTATGCTTTTAGAAAATGAATCCCATCAGTTGTGAGAAGGAAATCCAAGTGTGAGAACACTGCAAGAACTTGGCATGAACTCTGGAACACTGTTCCTTTCTGCCTTGTACAGTCAGTGCTAACACACAGACACTTTAAATTGTCAAAAAAAAAAAAAAAAAAAAGCTTGTTCTGTTAAGATAATCCAAATCGTCCTTTTTCTTGATGCAAACTATACTACTGGTGCTGAGATACTTAAATATTTTTTACTTACAGGTCTATTTGGAAACATGGGTTGTGTACAGTAAGTCCAGTCCCAGTCAAGAAGGGAATAATTTATATTCATGGAATCAGAGAGTTTCAGAGTTCGGAGAAGCTCCGTCAGTATCTTTTCACTGTAACTGTCCATATATTGTTATAAATGTAAAGGAGAGTTTACAGTTGTTAATCTCAAGATTGGCTTTGCTGGGTACCAATGTATCCTTTTCTTATCACATTTTTCTCAGTGTTCTTTGTAAATAGAAAATGTCTCTTTGAAAGCTGAAGTTTCGATATAACATCCGGGAAATGCTTATGATCAGAGGGTTTGTTGCTATTTTTTAAATAAAGGTTTAAAGGTTGTTAGGTAGTGACAGTGAAGGCAAACAGTTGAATACAACAGACCAGGGCCAGCAGACTGGATTAAATAGTGTGAGCATAGCAGAGAAGATGCTGGTGGTCACCTTCTCCCGGAATACAGTAAGGGAGAGGTACCAGCTACCCACCAGAACTGAGAACTAAAACTCTTTTTTGCATAAGGGGCTTTGGGATATGAAGGCAAAGTGATGCCAATGGTAGACAGTTGTAGCACTGGACACCCACGAAGGACACCAAAGATCCTAAGGGTTAGGGGCTATAGGTATTGTAATTAACAGCACGTGGGCAGAATAAAGGCTGTTCTCTGACTTGATGTCCCCTGGGAGCATACATAGGTAGAAAGTAGTGAGAGAACATGAGCGATTTCTTATTTTGGTATTTGGACTAGTTTGTCATTAGGGGGCAGAGTCTGATCACTTCAGTGAGTCTGAAGCAGAGCTATGATCTAAAACCAATCCTAGACGTGTGTCTCTTTCATGTTTTCTATTTCCCTATTGATATTTGTAGTGAGCCAGAAAGTGTCATTTGGGCAGAATCAGGAGAGGAAGGCAGTTATTGGCTGGAATGTCCTGAGTCTTCTGTATGTCTCAGCCCATCTGTGCCATGCAGCCCCGCCCCGCCCCCCGCTGTGGCCACTCCAGACTCAGCCACCTTCCGGAGGTCTCTGTCTCAACACACCATATGTTTGGACTCTGGTGGACACAAGTATGCCCTGACCACTGTTGCCCTGAATATGTTACACACACACACACACACACACACACACACACACACACATTCTGTATTTTCTTTCACTTAATGGATATATTAGGGGAAGATTTTAGTTTTTTCCTTGAAGAATTTAATAAGAAAATTTCAATTTCCATGGGTTTAATATTAATAAAACTCAAAAGACTTTCAAACTACATAGTTACACTAAAATCATCAACATGGATTGAAAAATATTATCTAATATAATATGGACATTCCGGCTGCAACGTTGGATCCCTTCAGTAATCCTTCTATCATCACTTATTTGGCTTACAATGTTCAGGTTTTGAATATGGAATCTTTTAAGAAAATTTAAGTCCTGGTTAGTAAACCTGGAAGGAAGGAGTAGGAAAGGAGTAGGAAACAAAAACAAAAATAAAAAATAAGTAAAAATACTGACAGAGCTGTAGTCATCAGATGTTCCTTAATCACTGCATTATTTACTGAGTGGCTTTGGTTTGTAGCATGAAATTATTTACTTAGTATTGTCTTTATCATCTCTGTTATCCTGTACAAAAGGAAATACATGAGACCCACCTGGAAAGAGTTCCTTTGAGTTTTTGGTCCCCTTATGGTGTCATTAAATTCTGCCATTTAAAATGGCCAGGATGCATTATAAATATTTTCCAAGTACTCCTTACTTAAAATAAATTAAAACGGACTTTTTATAAGCTTGACTACACTGATTTTTTTAAAATTAAGTTGTGTTATTATTTTAAGAATATTTAAGACATATGGTTTCTTAGGGTGTACCTAAACAACAGGAATTAATTATAATACTGACAAAGAGACCTAGTAACAAACAAGAGAGATGTATAAAGAAGAGTATACAAACATTTACTATGTACCTATTTAAAGTGCATTGCCACCAATCGGAGATAAACAAGGCAGAATCAAACTGTAACCAAAACCATTTGGCCCAGTATTTCATTTCCAAAGAAAACCTAAATATGTGCCATCTTAAATCTTATTGTAAAATTAGATGTTGTGTGTAAAATTTCAGGTTTCTGTGCAGAAATTATATCTAGTAAAGCCATTGGTGAGTAAGAAGGCCTAGAACTATACTGTCCAATACAGTAGCTACTAGCCACACCTGGCTATCGAGCCCTTGAAATATGGCTAGTTCAAACTGAGATGCATCCTAAGTGCAAAATGTATGCTGAATTTCAAAGACTAAGAAGAACAGAACATAAAATATCTCAATAGTTGCTTCTATTGATTGCATGTTGCAATGATAATATTATGGGTACATTGTGTTAAGTAAAATATTACTAAAATTAAGTTCATGTGTTTCTTTCTACTTTTTCTCATATGGCTACTAGATTTAAATTACATATCTGGTTCACATTATCTTTCTATTGAATAGCTCTGGTCTAGAAGGTGAAACATTCTTTTGGTGGCCATTTTATTGTTTGGCAAGAAATATTTCTATTCTACAGGTGAAAACATTTCAAGCTTTCATAAAGGGTTCAAGTATCTTCCTTGTCCTCTGTAACATCTGGTTAAAAATAAACAGAAAGATGAAACTGATAAAAAGAAAGCCAAGATATATTAAGTGATAATAATAGCATGTAACAATGTTTCTGGCTGTGCCCATTTTAATACATATATAATAAGTAGTTGTGATTATATATGTACATATTTTTATATATTCACCTGTACATATAGAGAATGTTCCTGGAAGAACACAAGCAGTAGGCTGGGAGAGAACTACTTTCTATTTTACAATCTTTTGTACCCTTTGAACTTTGAATCATCATTATCTATTGAAAATACTTTAAAACTATTTTAAAAACAGATAAAAAAAAGTAAAAAATGAGGAAAGCCATATTTATATGTAATCTTTTACTCCATATTACATGGATATTTTCTTATAATTGTCTTGATATATATAAAAACAACCAACTAAAGAAACTTCAGTAATATATTACATATACACATATACATATGTATATACATATATACATATATAGTATATACAATATATATATAATATTACACACATACACACAGACATACACACTGCCTAAATTGAATGATAAGAG